CCCCCCAACTTTCAGTATTGACTTAGCTTTAGAATAAGGGAAGAAAAAGTATTGGTTGGTTGACTGCGAACTGTTTCATGTTTTCCTGTGAAGAATGTACCACAACAGGGCTTTGAATGGTAATAATAGCACATGCCCCAGTCCTTTTAATTAAGCTCCAAAGGGGAGAGCCTCGGCACCCAGCCCGCTGGTTCAGCACGGAGCCGAGGTGCTGGTGGCCTGGCGAGGAACGGCTCCTGGGGGAACCAGGACGGGTTTTCCTAGAATTTGTATTTAAAATTGCTATCCTTTGTTTTATTTTTAAATGTTAAATAACTTTATTGTTTGCAAATGGAATGTTACCCGAATTTTTTTGTTTTGTTTTTTAAATCAAATCTGTTAGGAGATACAAGCGTGGAAAAGGAAGATCATTAGCAGAACTCGCCAATAAAAATGTCACTTGTTCAGGTGGTTTTTATGGAGTGGTCTGTCATGATGATGTTACTGGTAAAAGTTCTGTTGGAAAATACAGACGTTTTAGATGATACCAGTGTGACAGGCTCATTTTCTTTAACATATTACTGCAGACACACAGATGTGAGCAACACTGGTTGTAAAAGGTGCAAGGGCGAGGGGTGTGTGTGAGTAGGGGTGCTGGTGTGAGACATACATACCCCCAACTATCAACGTTTTTCATGGCAGGGTCCACTGAGGGAGGCGTGTGGGGACAGGGTGCCAGCAGGAGAAATTTGAATGATACTGCTAATAGGATTCATTCTCCACTTACCTGTACGTTCACCACAAATACCTTCAGTAACCCACCTAGACGAATCCTTTGTACCAGCAGGCAATGAGGTTCATCCAAATCCGTTTTAGTATTAATTTTCATCTTGCACGGATCATGGGCGTGAAGTGCACTGAGAAGGAGGTTAGTGCTTGTCTACACTTTTTTAAATGCTCTGAACAATGGATTACATGGGTTTGGGGTTTAGTTTGTTTTAGGCAGCTAAGCACCGTTTTCCACGCTTTATGAAGAACTTTACGTGTATGTGCTTAAAAGGAGGACTAAGGGCTAGAACCAACCTTGTAAAAATAATATGGACATTTACCATCGATAACCCCTGTAGCAGAACCCGGTATTTACGGGGTGACGTTCCCCCCTTCACTGCATCGCCTCCCCTGCCTGGAATGGGCTCCTACAGCCCGAGAGCCTCCCAGCTGCTGGTAGGTTTCATTAACCGCGCCAGAAGACACGCTGCTGTGCCCCTAGGCCGCGCTCCGGGCTTCCCGTGCTGGGCGCCGGGAGAGCCGCGCGGCGCCGAGTGGAGGG